TGGGCTGAGGAGAGGGATACAACTTCCCAGCAGGAAGATGGGAGATATTTGACAAAAATTACCCCCACACAGGAATCAAACTCATGCCTTCCACACGTGAGAGCAAAGCACCTAACCCCCAACACCACAGAGGCCAGTGCAGTGAATATAACCATATCATACTTATATATGTGCAAGTTTAGTTTTAGTAAAAGTTTTACGGCACTTGCAACACAATAAGGTCACATAAGTGTTGAAGATTAGAGGTGTAACAAGAAGAGAGTAACAAACATTTTAAAAAAGGAGGAAAGATCAGGACGATAGATGTTTGATAGGGAAGAAGGAGCAAACCACACCAGAGCAACCGCCAACCACTCACGATTTTATGTTAGTGTCCGCACAGAATGTATTTAAAACAGTATGCAGTTTCCATTGGAAAGAACACAATACGTAACTACGACTACAACTACCATTACAATTTTGACTGTTACAACACAATCTTCGTCATTGCCCGTGTACTGTACTATCATAGACAGTTGAACTGACGACAAGGTACTAAATAAAGCGAATAAACGAACACGTGTTACGAACAAGTGCCTGAGTGTTCTGACAGTGTGCAGGAGCATGTCAAACTGTATAACAAAACAAGTCTCTAACTGCTGTGGTTACATGCACAGTGCACAGTATTGCAATCATCATCTTCATGAGAGATGTTTTAGCCATCACTACAAAAACAATGACAATAGCTGGTAAACTGTTCACAAAACAAACACTTTAAACCTTTTTAAGCCATTTCAATTTTTTTTTCGGTGTCGATCTACATTTCACGTATACAAATTATATATCACAGTGTATGTGTGTGTGTCTGTGTGTGTGTGTGTGTGTGTGTGCATGCAAGTGTGCGAGTGTGTGAGTGTGTCTGTCTGTGTGCGCATGCAAGGGTGTGTGTGTGTGTACGTGTGTACGTGTGTACGTGTGTGTGTACATGTGTGTGTGCATGTGTGTGTGTGCATGTGTGTGTGTGCATGCAAGCGTGTGGGTGGGTGGGTGG